ATAATGTAGATGATGATAATGATGATGATGATGATGATGATGATGATGATGATGATGATAATGTAGATGATAATGATGATGATGATGATGATGATGATGATGATGATGATGATATGACTATAACGACGACGACGACGACGTCGACGACGACGACGTCGTCGATGATGAAGCATAGAACAATGGTAACGTAGATGATAACAAAGATGTTGATGCTCAAGCGAGTGAGACAATGAGTTTCGCAGCCTCCCCGAATTAACAATTAAGCGGGCCGCCGTTAATTAGGCGTGTGACGGACGCGGGGTTTATGCGCCTCACTGCAGCTCTCATGTGTACACGCACATACATACAGGTACATACACGCACACGCACACACACACACACGCACGCACGCACGCACGCACGCACGCACGCACACACACACACACACACACACACACACACACACAATCATGGTGATCCAAAATCGTGGGGGGAACATTTGATATGATGTCCCTCCTCTGAAAATTCGTGTGGGGGGGGGACATGTCCCCCTGTCCCCCCCTGGATTTGCGCCCCTGTACACTATACCAGGGATAGAAATAGGAGTCCGTTTTGTAACTATCTTGCTCTGAGCAGTCTGCGTTGATAGGATCAGGGGTTCATAATGACAGACATTTCAATCGTTAAAACCTTAATAATTATAATTGTATATAATAATCAATCATAATAATTTATAATTACAGACCTTCATAATTATCAACCCCTGATAGGATAAAACGATAGGAAGAGAGAGCTACCGGTTTTGTTTTACTTTCGTTATACCCTCCCAGGCGCCCGTCACTCCTACGCAGTCATAAAGCTCCACAAACGGCATAACTTCGCGCCATCTAAACAATCCATGGCCCGTACATCAATCGACACCGCTCCTAGCCATGACTCGCGTACATCGTACGCACTAGCGGCAGGCGCGGTACACGCTGGCTATCTGTAACACCCGCTGTTGACTTCGCTGTCAGTCTACTGTCAGGTACTGTTGAAGGTATAATTACAATTTTTACATTCTTACCCCCCCCCCAATTTTCTCAACGAATTTGACGTTTCACAAAATTGACCCCTGGGACACTCAAATCCGCAGATTTCCGCGGAACCGCGGAAAACTGAATCTCATCCCTGAGTCGGTATGTATGCGTGTACGTGTACGTTTATGTGTGCGCGACCATGTGAATGTGTGTGTAAATGTCGTATAGTAGTGTGCGCTTGGTGTGTGGTTGGGTCGGTGTGCGGGGGGATGTGTCGGTGTGGGGGGCCGTGCGTGCGTACGTATGTATGCGGTTGAGTAGGTGCGTCGTATGATGTTGTGGCGCGCTCTGTGCAGTCTGTAAATGTGGTATGGTGTGGGTTGAGGTGGCGCGAGTGATTTGCGTTTTGCGGCATGCCCGTTGTGTGTGAATTGCGCGTGCTTGTGCGTGCGTCGTGCGCGCTGTGTGTGATGTGTGTGTGCGGCGAGTGTGTGCAAAATACTGGGTTGACAAACGGGAGGTGTAACCCCCTGCCCAAGCCGCCTGTCCACAGACTTTTCAAGAAATATATCATCATAAACTACCCCATTGCATTTTTTTTTTTTTATTTGATCTTATTATTTGAGCGCTTCCTACCAAGAATGCCAATTTTCAAAATATCTAAAAATAAGTGAAATTTGTACTAATAAATCAACTCCATTTTTTTTTTTAAAATTGCATGAGTTATTTTAAGGATAAATTCTCAGATTTTATTATATAATTTAGATACAAATTTCTTTCGCGCGCTTAACACCAAATATTCGGTATATGACTCGAGCTATTTATCAGTTATTTTTCGTTTTTACTGTAAATACTCCTTCAAATAAGAGAGTGAAGAGCACTAAATGGTTTATAACATGTCCATATGCAACGGATCAGACGCCGCACTTCGAACCCGTTGTGAGGACGGTATAGTCTAGTAATGTAATTGTGTCACGAGCCCGATTTTTATGCCTTACTTTGCTCCAGCCGTACTTGCTTCTCTCCATCCGTAATCGTATACTTATGGTTTTGGGCGCGACGAAGTTCTCAAATCGGGATAAGTTACTGCGACCTCCCACAGACAGGCGCGTAGGCTAGGATTTTATTTAGGGGGGGGGGGTGCGGCCAATTGAGAAACGTAAAGTGTGCGAAAATTGCGAGGGGCGTTATAGACCTACGCGTTAACCGAGGCAGTTGGGGTGAGCGAGGGGGGGATGATCGGCGATACGCATCACATACTAGCAAGCGAAGCACAAAGCCCAAATAAATTTACTCGCACACGCGGCTATAGCGCACGTCACGATACATACACACACTAAGCACACACACACACACACACACACACTACATCCACACACACAAGCTGAGCCACACTACAATTACTACACAGTGGCGTTAAGGTGTGCCCAAGCAATTGGAAAACAGGGGGGTTTGCCATAGGCGAGTGAGCGAAGCGAGACGGGGGGTAGCGGTGTGGGAAGGGGTATCCCCTCCACGGTAGGGAGATTTATTTGAATAATTCGTGCATTGAAAATGGCATTTTTCTGCACAAACTAAAGTTCAGTATTATAGGGGTAATTTATATGCAGAGTGCATATGCTAATCAGCCATTATGAAACGCCCTCTGAGCCTCGCTTTTTATTTTTTCCAACTCCGAATCGCGATGCAAACCGTGACGATTGGAGCCCCTGGCTCTGTGCGCCGTGAAGCTTCTGAAGGTTACAACACACGACGCAGTTTGTGAGGAACCGCTTAATAGACAGTTGAAAATATGGTGTACGAAGCTCAGTGGTTTTTTTCAGGGAGGGAGAAGAAAGAGTTAAGGGCGACCAATGACAGTGATGAGCAATTTCTGCAACGGGGGAGAGGTGTTTCCCCCTCCACAGTCCACGGGCTACTTCTTCTGACACAAATACCGCCTGCACTCACAACATCGCCATTTTTGCGAGAGTTGGCTAATTTACATGATTACGTGTCAGGTGAATAGTGGTTAATAGATTCGCAAATCCGCATTCAGTTTGGGCCTTCATCTCTTAATTTTTGTTTACTACTTGCCACGCGATCAAAGAAGAGGGTCATGAGCCTCCTTTGTTGGCCCCCCCCCTCTTAGCTACGCTCTAGTCCCTCTTATTTAAAAAGGCACTGACGGATATATTTGGAATTAGTTTGATTTGTGTTGTTAGCAGTATGGGCATAAATGTCTGCTTTTTATCCGTTCCATAAATACGTGTTTCAAGTCTCGCTACATATAAAAGTTATATAAGTTAAATATTTTTTGATAAAGTAGAGGCACTATTGAATGAGATCTGATAAGATCTTACGGAAAAAACAGTAGATGGTGTTGGAATCTGCAGCTGATCAAACATGCAATTTATTTAAATACTAAAAGATTTACATCGTTTAGATATTTACAATAATGCGTTAAGATCACATTTAAACATTTGTTCGTTAATTTAAAAATGTTTTTGCTTTCGCTCTGATGAAGAACTAAATAACGCATATTGAAAATATTGATTTCAATATAAAAATCTTTAAAGGTAGCTGCCAAAATAGCGCCTCTAATTTAAAAATAAAAAGGAAATTTACCTCCCAATGAAAAGGAATTTGTTTTTGCTCCGCCTGAGTAGAGAACATGTCTACTTGAAAATAGGTGTTGAAATCGATTTGAAATAAAAACCGAGGTTTCTGCAAAATGGCCCGTTATATTAAGTTCGAATATATCAAAGTTATTCACTAAAGTCATTTCCATTTCTTTCCTTCTGT